CAAAAGCAAACAACATCGGCTGTCCATTTGTTGTTGAAAACTGGAAAATGTTTTGCTCGCGTTGATGATGTTATTGCAAAAGTTGTTTTTTTTCTCTTTTTCGTTCTTTTTTTTAATTTCTGAGTTTGTTTTTAATTCATATTAATTGGAAATAAATTACCTCAGGTAACACAAGCTAATTTTGCTTAGCTAAACAAATTATTTTGTTTTTGAAAGTCAACAAAATTACTAAGTTTAATTTCATCGCAATTTTCCGATGAAAATCGTCGATTTCTTGGAACTCTCCACACAATTCCATCCATTCGAACGGAGCGACACGATATCGATTCGGCCGTTACGGTGAATATTTGATGGTTTGATATTATTTATGAATACGCAAGTGTTTTTGTCGCACACACGCTTTTATTGATCAAACGTCGGAATAATGTCATCGCCTAATTGATACCACAGCAACATGACTGCGTCACAAGTCAATACATTTGAATACATTTGATAGCAAAAATATAAATATTTCATCAATTTGAAATTTTGTTACAAAATTTACTGAAAGGAAGAGAATAATGTTTAAAAGAAAAACGTTCGAAAGAGAATTTTGACAAGACGTTTGCACGAGCACTACGTCAATGCAAGTGAATATTTTAGTTGAAAATGTGTCAAAGTTTGAAAAACAATTGGAATTCAGTCATTCTTGTTAGTCGATAACAAATTGTTAACAATTGGATCACAATAAAATGAGTTCAAGGTTCAATATGCGGACAGGTTTGGGTTGATTCGATGTTGTTGTTCGGGGTTGAGACATTGAACAATTCAAGGCGAATTATCGATTTTTGAAGAGAGTTTTAAATTGAACAAGAGAAAGTGATTTTGTTTTTTGAATAAATGATATGGTTTCTGTTCAAATTCACATTCACATGTGTCTAGTGATGTATGTTGGATTGTGCTAGGTCGGAATTGTAACAGATGTTGAGTTTGTGGACAATAAGAATGGATGGTAAAAAGAAAAAAGACGGAATAAGACCAAAACAACACCAAAGTCGAGAAAGATAAGACTTTGGACAAGTGGAGAAAGCGAAAATTATAGAACAAACGGCGAAGCACATAAGAAAAAAATTGAAAGAAAAAAAACAATGAAATGAAATGCAAATGCGTAATTTTAACCGTTGAAAACTTTTTTTGCATTCGGTCAGTTAATTACGTCAGTTGATTCACGTTAAAGTCTATGGATTGAAATTCTTTTCCTTCAGCTTCTTATCCAATCATTTCCGATCCTTCCTTTCTAGAAAGTACCTTCTCCCTTTAAAAAGCCACCTTAAACCATGTAGGCCCTAATTCAAAAATGTTGCGTAAAAACTGCAAAAACGCAGAAATTTAGCCCGCTTTCAAGTCACATCATAATGAGTGAAAATGCAATTACACCTTGCAAATCGTCCCTCGTTTTCTTCAAGTTTGCTTCCGCTGTTAATGCAATAAATTTAATCCAATTGCAACGTTCAAGCTAGGGAATTTCATAATGGCTCATTATCTCTCTTTTTTCCATTCACTCGGTTTTTAAACACCACCTTCACCGTTAAGTGAACGCGACAATGCGACACATCGCCACAACGAAGCAAATGAAAGGTCTCGTCGAAGGGAAAAAAAACTTGAAATTCCATGAGTTCATTTTAATCGAAGAAATATAGTGCGTGCGGGGTGACATTTGTCAAGGTATTTGCTGTTTGCACGCAATTTTCTACGGTTAATATCATTCTCTATGTAAATGCCGATTGAATTGTTCTTTGGTACTTAGATTTTTTTTGTGATGGTTTCTGTTTCTGTTTTGGTTGTTATTTTTCTTCTTTTTTCGATTTTTTGTCTTGTCTCTCTCCCTCTCTCGCTGCTGTTGGTTTTCTCTCGCCTTTTTTTTTCCTTTTTTCTCTCATTCTCTCGCTTTTGCCTCTATTTTTTCTTTCATTTTTTTTTCTGTCATTCCCACTCTTTATTTCATTTGTTCTGATCAAGGGAATCGTTATTCCGATAATTCATTTTTCCAATTCGATTTATCGTTCGCTTCTCCGACATTACATACTCGTCTGATGTACGATGTACGGTGACTATGGTCTTCACAATGAGATTTTGATGACTGTGCTTCGGATGATTTGATATTTGGTGGTGAGCTGGCAGCTTGCGACCGTGAACGCTAACGATGACCCTTTGCACGACACGGCTTCGAGTCATAATCCGAATCACCAAAACGCGCAGTGTTCATTTGTTTGTTCAATTCAATCGATAAACGATTTCAAATCGAAAAAACCCAAATCGTTCGTAATAAGTACAGAAAGAGCAATTAGAGAGAAAAAAATGTGGCGGCATATTATAATGTTACATAATAGTGAGACTCGCCCATCGCATTGCGTAATTGTTCTACGCAAGTTCTTTGCTCAAACAAAAAGTGCTGATTCAAAATGAGCCATTTCACAATTTTCATGATGAATTTTTTTTAACCAAAAGCAGCAATTAATTGTTGAGCAAAAAGCATTTTACCGAAAATAAAAGCGCGCTCTGTTGTTTTTACCATCGACCATTTAAGCATGAACGCACCTTCGGGTCGATTGCCGTTATTCAGTGAAACATGTCAATTCGATAGCATTTTCGATTGATTTGATTGTGAGCGGCCAATGCACTATCGATCCAAAAGCTACTCCAATTTTGAATAGTCATTTAGAATCCCATGAGACTCGACCATTGTTTACCGGCAGGTTTCGTTGATTATCTATGATTTACGATTGTACTTCAATGTTCAATCTAAATAGAACATGATTTTGCACCTTCTAACGGCAATTGATCGATTCGATAAAAAATGCTCTGAGAGCTGGTCAGATTAGAATCATTACGTGCATAACGTTTTCATTTTGAAACAAGTAAAAAAGATTTTAACTTGAAAGGAGATTTTGTCTTCAACTTCAAAGGTCAACTTTGAATAAAGAAAAACACCTTGTTCCTTGCGGAATCAAATAAAGATTCTTTTTACCTCAGAAGATCTTCGAAAGCAGATAGCCATATCTCAAACGTTCATCTCGTACAAGAACAAAATTTTCTTCTTTACAACAAGAATGTTCAGTCTCAAAATTTGGTGCTCAGATTGAACAGTTCATAAATTTGGAATACAACATTGAACAGTTCAATTCGATTCTAGATCAATGAGTCATTACTTTCGGAATACACAATTTCGAATGAACATGGCTGGAGCCTATCGCTCTCTTTCATTTCTTCCGGAAGCAAATTTGCAAGTGAAACCGATTGAAATAGGTGCAAAATCACACAAAAGAATCAGAGAAGCAGATTAGAAAAAGCGGCTCTCTACAGCTTCAGAAGAGATGAAATCAAACGACCTGGAAATAATTGAATCTGATTTGCGTGTTCAAATTTCGATTGGTTGTGGGAGCGATGGCTTTGAACGATGTTTCTTTCGATCTAAAACAGTGAATAGTTTTTTTTTCTAAGTCGATGGAAATATCTTCTAAATAGATTCAATGGATTGACTCGACGCAAATATCTTTCTTTCGAACTCAAATTCATTGAGTTGATAGTAAGTAGCTTCGACATTGATCGGATGGTTACATCGAATCTAACGGTTGCTCAAGCTCTTAATTAGTCATACCAACGCCATAAACATCGATGGAATATATCTTCATTTGGAGAACCAATTTCGAATTGAAACAAATTGTTTTCATTCTTCTTCTTTGTTTTCTGCTTCATTCATGGAACAGCAACAGCTTTATTTAAAAAAAATTAAGACAGTGAGGTGATGTGTGGGATGTGCTCCATGGGATCCAGACGATTTAAATGGTTGATTCTTGTAAATATTATTATTTTCATTTGGACTTGGAATATATTCGAATGATTCAGATTGAATCTTTCTTCGACGAAGATTCTTCATAAATTTTGTTCAGCCGGAGGCTCGATTTTAGAGATCTGCTTGAAACAGGCTGTTTCACTAATCAAAACAACAAATGAATAGATAAAAATTCAAATTGTGTCGCTTGCGAATATCAAATTCCTTCAAAAATTCCAAATCCCCAAATTGTATCTTCCGATCTCTACAAATTAAACGCATCTTTCATTGTCTTCCACCGAATCGTCTAGTTAAAACCGAAAATCCGCCTCAAAATCTCACCTAAAAACATAAATACCAATTTAAACGTAACAAAACTCACTTCCGAATCCAAACTTGTGATTAGTAAGTGAAAAAAGTTCGTGCGCATTATCTCTCTCTCTCTCGGAATGTGTGCGTATTTTGAGTTTCCGTCGAGTTGTTATTATTTCTGTTGTTCGCGGTTGGTCGGGTGTATGAGCGTAAATAATTTATGGACTAGTTATTCGTCTATTCATAGCTCGATCACAATGATGTGTATCGAACAAAAGAAGCCGAAAAATATCCAAAGAATTGCGTAGAGCATTATTTTTCTGCAGTGCCGTGTGTCTCTATCAAAAGTAATAATGAATGTGCCACCGATCGGCAGACAGAGGCCTGGGTATTGGTTACGCTGTTTTGTCGGCAACTGATCGTCTATCGCAAATCACTATTATTCCTGCTCATTACATCTTTGGTTTGTGTGTGCTTTCTTTTTTCTCCATTCTTTCGGTTTCACTGCCTTTTGTGTCGTGTGTCGCACACACACAAGTCATTCCATTGAGACGAACCATTTTTTGCGAGACAACCCGCGTCTTTTGAATGAATAAAACCATTTTTTGCGATACGAATCAATTTTTTCCGAGGCTCTTGATTTTTTCTCTATTTGCGATACGATTTTCTCAGTATACATACTATGAAGTCATTTTTTCGAGATAAAAATCGTTTTTTTTAGACAAAGACAAGCGCCTGTTTTTCTAATTCGGTGATGCAAATCGTCGATAACAATCTTGAATTCGTTTCATGCATTTCATGAGTAAATTTTAACAAAAGCCAAAAATTGCTGCACTTTTGCATCGATTGTAATCGTTTTCTGTTTTTCTATTTGCAGTGTCTGGAACAAGAGAAGCATATTTTACGACGAAAACTGTCAGAGGCGGAAAGTGAACGAGATTTACGTGTACAGGAACTGGAATCCGACTACAGTGATCTAAAATCAAAGCTAATGTCACAGGTAATTTAAAGGGAAAATTGTGCAAAATTGAAGACAAAACGAAGTTGCAGCAAGAGAGTTTTGGATATGAAGTCGTCTTTTGGTTGGAGTGAGAGACGGTTTTAGGTTGAAAGAACGTCATTTTTAGCCTGAGTGAGAGAGAAAGAGAGAGAGAGAGAGAGAGTTTTTAGCTTGAGTGAGTGAGAGAGAGAGAGAGAGAGAGAGAGAGAGAGAGAGAGTTTTTAGCTTGAGTGAGAGAGAGAGAGAGACAGAGAGAGGGAGACAGAGCGATTCAACTTTTGCTTCAAAAACAATCTTAGAGCAAAACAGCCTATTTAAACAACGTTCAACGATTGATTCAAAGACCGTCAATTTTGAATAAAATCAAAGCATGAGCCGAAGTCATTGTTTTACAACGTTCAAGTTTTGTTTTCAATCGAACATGTTGTTCATTGGTGTTTGGAACACCAAACGGTGTCTTAAAGTCGCAATTTCATGTTTGGGTGTAATTTATGGAAGCTTTTCGTTGCTTTTCCAGGCTCTAATTGTTGCGCCACGAACATAAATCACTGCTATTTCTACTCCAATAATATTTTTCGGGTGGCGAGAAGAAAGTGAGACTCAAAAGCCATCGAACCAAACGAACGAAGCGAAAAAAAAACTGTCAAAATATTTGGCCAATTGTGATTTGTGTGAAAATCGTGCACTTTTCTCTCTCTCTCTCTCTCTCTCTCTCTTTCTCTCTCTCTTTCTGTCTCTCTCTGTATCGGCTTGTGTAACGATCTATGATTTACACGCAGCCGCCGGCACAATCGAACGTCTCTCACACGTCGCAATCGACAGCTACCAGTTTTTTTCTTCCGACTTTTGTTTTCATTGGAAGCAAAAAAAAAAGAAGTCGTCCATTGATTCTATTGTAAATCGAAAGTTTCAACGTGCCTTCAACCATTTTCATAACTTTCGCCCCAACAAAGACCGATTTTTTTTTGTTTTCGTTCGGACTTGAATCAGTTTCACTATTCTTGACAGTACACAACCGTTTTTGATGAGCATGAAATGATCAATTTTTCGTTTGTTTGTCTATGGTTTCTAATTTTTTTTTTCGCTTTGCTTTTCGTAGGAGTCATCGGTGCGGCACAATGAACGCGAGAAAAATGTACTGGTCGACGAGTTGGCATCACAAAATGCCCGGCTCACACAACAGCTCCAAGCAGCCAATCAACTCGAAGTCCAACTCAGCAATAAACTGCAAGAATTAAAAAGTCAATACAACATTCAGCATCAAACCTTACAGGTAATACCATCAATCTTGAGCCAAATCGTTTTCGACTTTTGATGCATTTTCTCGTTAATTAGACGATTTTTTTTAGTCGAAATTGCGAGAAAAAGTGAAATAGACTTACAGTTTTGAATGATAAATTGGAGCAATGCTCAGAAATAGAGCGATAATGGTCTTAATCGTTTTAGTTTTAGTTTTAGTTTTGAACGAGTTTAATCGCGTTGACAGACATTTAATTAAGTTTATTTTGTTCGTCTTTAGAATCACATCAACGGTTTGGAAAGTCTTAAAGATGAATTAAATATCATCACGAAAGCGAAACACGAACTCGAAAAACGGCTACAGACCACTGTCATCGAGAAAGAAACGATATTCTCATCGTTGGAAGAAGCTCTCGATCGGATACACACACTGGAACGACATGCGCGGGAACAAGAATCGAAATTACAGGTAAATTTTGGATAATTTTAAATTTCATTTCAATTTGCCGAAAATAAATTAATAAAATTAATTCCATTTTTTTTTATAAAATTTTGAAAAATGTTTAACTGATCAAAAATGTTTTCTTCTTTACAGTCAACGACACAGCACCTCGACCGTGTGCAAGAGGAAAATAATGCGCTGTATGAAAAATTAGTGAGTATTTTAAGGTTTTATATTAAGTCTTTGACACGAGTTTAAAAAAAAAAAATGTTTGCGAATGAGAAAAAATTGAAACTTTTGAAATTAAAGTCAACTAAAAAGAGAAAAAATCTAAAAATCTCTCTGCAATTGCAGGGATCTATTCAAAATTCGCCACGACATTCATCATTGATGAATGAGATGGAATGTGATGAAGACCAAGGAATTGGCGATAGCAATAAATCACTCAATACGATTGATGCAATAGCGAAAGAAGCGCGCACCGTATATAATCAACTGAAAATGCTCCATTTCACGCTGAAAGGCAACCATGACGGTGATTCGGGATTACATTCCGATTTGTTTTTGGGTTCAGCGGATCAGTCATCGACAAATCAATACGATTCAACCGAAGAGTTGCATCAAGGTATGCTGTCCGCATTGACCGATGACATCATCAACTTGATCATGAGCATGGATGTCGTTCACTTCAAAACAATGTTGGACAAGTCACGAGCCACGAACCAAGAACAGGAGGAAGAGTTGCGCCGACGACAGACAACCATTTCAGATTTTGAAAGTAAAGTGAGTATCGTTACATATATACCAAAATTTTGATCATTTGGAACTTTGTTCGAAGTTGAGAAAAATATGTGGAAATTTACACAAAATGTTCAGTTTCGAAAAAGTTCGAAATAAATTTGGTTTGAAAATAAAATTCTTTTTCATTGAAAAAAAAAAACTAATTCACATTTTCCCGATTCCAATTTTACAGGTGTCGGTGATGGAAGTCGAATTACGAAGTGCCTTAGAAGATCGAAATCGTGCTCAAGCCGATGCATCGGAAAGCAGTTTGGCTCAAGATGATGTGGTGTCACAGGCGCGTGCCGATCGCGATTCGGCCATTCAACGACGAACAAAGGCTGAAATTGAATTAGCAAAAACTCGTGTCGAACTCATGCAAGCGAACAGCGAATTGCTCGAAGCCATTAATCAAAAAGTCGAACTGTCGCAACAATTGGAGCAGTGGCAGGTGTGTAAACGACTAAATTTGATTTCCGAATTTAATCAATTTCATTTTGATTGAAAATAAAATAAAATATCCCACATTGAAAATTAAACGAAAATAATCTTCTCAATCCCCTCAGGTGGACATGCACGAATTGTTGGAGGAGCAAATGAAGCGTCAATTGGAGGATAGCCAACGAAAAGCAAAATCGAGAAATATCGCGGTCACACCACCCAAGCCAACATATTCACACCTTCTAATGCGACTATTCCAGCGATAAACATTCTAATCGCTCCCGTACCTGCCCGCGTCAGTGAATAGATCATCATTTCGGCTCAATCAAGAGCAAATATTAGATCGTTTTTACTGAGAGAAAAAAATTCCGTCTTTTTTTAAATATTTTTTTGTTTGTTTATAAAACCAAATCTCACTCACTCCCTGGAACTGTGCAAGCGATTTAGCGTATTTTTCCATTGTGTAATTTATTGATTAATCTATTTTGTATATTAACGTTTAGCAAATAAGAAGAGTGATTGTAAAATTGGTTCGATTGAATCGACTTGAATTTTTCGCCTTTGAAAATGATGTTCTTTTTTTAACGAAAAAAAAATCTCGTGATAATTGATTAATGCGATTTTGTCGATGTGATAAACGACCAACAACATCGAATATTGTTGAAATTGTGAGTATTGATCGTCACATTTTATATCTTTTAGTCTGTGGCACACGAAATATCAGCCTTTGATCGCTGCCCAAATTTATCTTCGTCTAAATTTTTTTTTTTTTTTCAAATTAAATAACTTTTTTTTTTCAAAAATAGAAGAAATCAATTCGAAACATTTCAACAATTTCGATATTCGAATCGCATTTAAAAACATCAACAAAAAAACTGTACATTTTTTTCTGCCGGAAATTTAATGGTGAAAAATTTATTCTAAGAACAAACAATAATATAAAAATAAACAGTTAATAATTGGCAATGAAAAAAAAAACAACGGGGTCGTTTTATTTAGGACGGAGTTTGCTTTTCGAAAAGTTCAATTTATTTTTGAAATTGAATGCTAGCATGTTTCATTCGAAATTCCCATTCCAACGGGATATTTTGACATTTCTCGATCACTTCCAGTAATTTCCAATAGAATAATACGAACCAATACAAACCGACAATATCGCCGAATTTAGGGGGTGAAGAAGCTATCAGAATCAAGTTTTTTTTTAAATTATATGGGTGATGCATTAATCACTGATTGTTGAATAAGTAAGAAGCAATCGGACGGTTGTTGCTATACGTGGCTTTTCACTTGCCATTAGTTGTTATTACGTAGTATTTCAATTTTTGTGGTCAAAATGAACGTAGAAAGTGCATCAGTTGACGTCATCGCAAATGACCAATCGCAAGCGGAGATTTTCAAGTTGAAATTTGATCATTTTGAAGAATTATTTGACTGGTTGTCACTGAGAGCATTGGTGTCACTTGGTTGAACGTGCAAGCGAATGCAACATATCATCGGTTACTACATTAAAACGACCTACGCTGCAATTAGGTTTAAATTGAAGATTAATGACATCTAGGTGCAAAAGAATTGTGAATATAGCTGCGATGGAATCAAATTTTGTGGATGGAGTTCATTTCTAAAAAACATCATATTTCATATTGAATATAAATATCTCTATGAGCGCGGAGCACTAAAAAAAATTATCCCTATTTCGGACAAAAAAATGATTTCGTATATGGAAGCCGATCGATTCAAAACGCTCACCGAAATTTGGCTAAAGGACATTGTATTTACCGATACTTGGATATTACGAATAAAAGCGATTTTGAGCCAAGTAGAAACGGTGATATTAGTACACCCTAATTTCCTCGACGATGACAAAGAATGTTATGACGATTTTCTAAAATACTGTACAAATTTGAAGAATTTATGTGTTCATGCTCAGGTTAAAAGGTCTATCAGCACTGATAACAGCTGGCTTCTACAAAAATATCCGAAACTCAAACACTTTGTGCTGACAATATGTGATGATGAATCGAATGAAGAGTTAGAAACTAGTCAATCTTGAATTAATTCAATTCATAGATGCAATCTTTGATGACATTCTACCATTCATTCGATATTCCCCAAAATTAAACACAATTATTGTGTTTTGTCTTCGGCAAAGTGACATACATGGTCTCAACATTGAAAAATTGAACAAAGAACGATCGAAATTGACCAATGCAAGGAAAGTCACCATTTATGTTGAGGAATGAGTTTATCTGGAGATAAAATGGGCCGAAAATCAAACCAATTGCAGTTTGATTGAGATAAAACGAGGTGCATCTAATGATGCAGTGAATCATTATTTTCATTACATAGTCAGTCCCATGTGGAATACATTTTGAAAGTAGATTCAGTTAATAAAGAACTTTTAACCAATTGCTCAATAAAACCAAATGAATGAATAAAAAAATTGTTTTTCTTTTAAAATTTATCAAATTTTTTCTAGGTCATCAAGTAATTGATTAAAACGATTCATTGTTGTGGCGAATTCATCACGTATCCGTTGAATATAGTGTCGTCGTTCAACAGCTTTTCGCACGTTCAATAATTTCATTTGTTTGATTCGTTCATCGTGTTGCATTTGTATCGACTGGGCTTTATCTCGAAGCAATGCGATGTGATCGTCAATGAGAGTGACAATATTTGATTTGGCTAATTCCAGCGCTGGAATACAATTGACAACCTCAAAACTCGCGTATGAATCAATGTCGCTACTGAATTCAGTAGCACTTCTATTATTAGACGCAGCAAAATCGGGCTCATAAACTCTATTTGATGCATCGCGCAGACTGTTCACTGTGAGTCGGTTCGTTGGCTTATTTTCATGGATGACAACGGCTTTTATTGCATCTGAACTCTCCTGTGACACTCGGCACATTTCGCCAATCTCCTCTTTAAAATCGCTGTAATTTATGAAATTCACCAAACTCTCCGATATATTTGTCGGCGACGACCATTGTGATTCGGCTGACTGAAATTGGTAGAAAAGAGGTGCTTTATGACGAAACGCTAAGCTCACTTTTATTTTATTTTTTTCGTTTTTGACTTACAAATTCTATGCACACTTACAACATTGATATCAGTCATCGTACGAACTGGAACCCAATCTGAAGCCGAGCTCGGGCCAACGTCGAAAGTACATTCCAGAGCATTTTGTTCAAGAATTCTACGTAAACGATTCGCTTTCGTTTGCCAATTCCATATCGGTTGCGACATTTTTGCCAGAACTAATATTGTCAAAGCGATATTGAAAGGCTACTACAACTGAAATGTTCAATAACAAGATAAGAACAAATAATTTTGTGTGTAATTTTGTCATAATTCCTGCTCTATTTTATTGTCCCAAGCGTGGCTCCTGTGTAAGAAATATTGTCAAACCGAAAGCACTCTCTCACTACTGCTATAAAAAAAAATTGTCCAATTCAAACCACTGTTTGTTTTTTTTTTCTTCATTTTTTAATGTATAAACAATTGAGTTTCGTTTCAATACAATTTCGATAGAATATGCTTAAACTAATAATTTGCAATGGATTAACTTATCGATCTACTGGCAATTAATTAGACGAAATTTGTGTTTTATTTTTCTTTGTTGAACATTGTGTTCCGAATCACCGTATGACAATTTGGTGGAAAAAAATGCGGATTTTTTTTTGTTATCAAAAAAAAGAGAAAAGTTATGACGTGTAATCAGCCGTGAACATGTTTATGAAATATGATAAATTGTTGTTGTTTCGAATTGTGACCTGTTGATGCGTCGTTTTTTTTTTTTGGTCTGTTTAGAAACGTTTCAAAAACTCTTCGGAACAGATACGAGCACGTGAATTGACGGCCAATTTCATTTCGCTGATTTCTTTGTCGATTTCCTCCATGAAATGAATCACAAAGTCGACCAATTTATGCTTGTACATTTGTTCGGTGTGAAAATTGGTGATCAAAAAGCTAATGTCATAGCCTTCGATGGGCTTACGGCGAAGAATGATGAAATTTTCAGCGCGCATCATCATGAATCGCGTGAATTTGTGGCATAGAATCTTTTCAATTTCATCGGCCTGTTTGACGGCAATCGAAATTCGCACCGAATTCACACTGCTCTCGATCAAGACGCGTTCCTTTTCATTGCGCGATATGACGACCGGTGTTAGAATCAACTCTTCGCTGGTTCGCACCTCTACCTCCGGCTTATTGTGACGCTCGACCACTTGCGATGAGAAATTCGTCAAACACATTGCCGCCGTCAGTGTATGACGAACGGCAGTCAAATACGGCTTCAATGTTGTCGACATTTTCAATCAGCACACTATTTTCGCTTTCTCTCTGTTGAACGAATCACTCTTTTTTTTGGTACTGTGTTCACGCCTTTTTCCGCTATCTGCTCCAATTCCTACCGATTTTTATATGAATGACATTAGTTGAACAGTCAATGTTAAAGAATTTATTGGGTTTATATGGTAAAATAACTTACGAATCACAGGAAATATCGTTTTGCTGAACAATTCTGATGACTAAACTGAATAAATGCGATTAGAGCCGAGATTCTGATGTTTATGAGTCAATTTCATTACACCCCACACGCAAACACTTTGAAATGTCATCCGTCGGCTTCTTCTTTTTTCACAATCTCGAACGAGATTGAACGAGATTGCGACGATGACAGTTTGATAGTGTACTTTAATGTACTTTGGAACACACTCAAAGGAATCGGTTGGAAATGGAATTGCAGTTTTGGTCGAAATTTGTGAAATAATTTCGTTTTTTTGCAGAAGATTAAGGAGACTTCACGAATATATCCTGGGAAAAAGCATTGAAAATGATCAAAAAGCCGAAAAACATGAAAAACTTCAAGGTTTTTCTGCAATTTCAATGACATGAAATCGATTCAAAGGCAAAGCATAGGAGAACATTAACATAGAAATGCAAAATCGTCTTGGAAATGAACAGAAGTCGTAAAAAAGTGGAAAAAAGAAGAAATAGGGTTGAAAAAGGATTGTAAAAGGCTAGAAAAAGACCAAAAACTGTTAGAAAAACCAAGAAAACCCAATAAAATCAGCAAAAGAAAGCAAAATCGTCGTCATAAGATACGAAAAATCAATCCAACCAATGAAAGTACCTAAAAAATCCCATTCTTTTTGAACATCCCAAGTCCAATCCCTATCGAGCTCCGTCGTTAAAGTACGTGCCAGCTGTTTTGACATGTGTTTGTGTGTGTACAATGTTTCATCAGTGGAAACGTACCAAGGCAATTGTACATCATACGATGCTCATGTATTACGAGCAAATATCTGTCAATTAATGTATAGCGTAATTCATTCCAATGGAATGCCTAATAACACCAATGCGTAAAAGTGAGACGACGGCATAATATCATACAATGAAATGTCATTCGTAACAAAAACACACAGTCAGACAAAATAGAAAACACACGAGCCTTCACACAGTTTTCCGAGAAGAAAAAAAGTTACTTTCATTAGTTGGATCGCAACAAGCGAGCCAAAAAAAGTGTTTTCTGTTTGAATATTTGCACTAAATTGGTGTTTCATCGAAAAAAATTCGACGTGTGGCGACGAAAAAACCAGAAAAAATTCCATTTGTCGTGCCCAAGTGTTCATAAAATGATGAGTTAATTTGAATTGCGTGTTGTTGTCGAGTATAATAATAAATTCAGAAAAAAAAACTTGAAATATCTCAGACGTAATTGACAAAAGTTCGTTGTTTGACGGCCCGAAAATCGATTTAGTGTATGGTGATGTGATTGGATGTATATTTTTGTTATTTAAATGGTCACTTTGGGTTGCTGTGGGTGTTTACAACATATGTGAATTTGAATGTCCTTCACCGGAAAACCGTGATCTAGGCTCAGGTGTGCGTCGAGTCTAAATAGCAACAACAACAACAACAGCAAAAGTCCATTTTGAATCGTTTTTGTCTGTTGCGACGCACGAATCGAAAATGTTTCGCAGCCGTAGCTGGTTCGGTTGGAATAAACCAAAGAATCGTCTGTCATTGGATCATCTCAAGTATTTGTATGCAGTGCTTGAACGTAATACCACCGTGTCGGAGCACAATCGTGGCCTGTTGGTGGAATCATTGCGATGCATTGCGGAGATTTTAATTTGGGGCGATCAAAATGATTCGTCGGTTTTTGATTTTTTCCTGGAGAAAAATATGCTCTCATATTTTTTACATATTATGAGACAAAAATCCGGCGGTTCCAGCTTTGTTTGCGTACAACTCCTACAAACGTTAAATATTTTATTCGAAAATATTCGCAATGAAACGTCATTGTATTACTTACTTAGTAATAACCATGTCAATTCGATTATCGTCCATAAATTTGACTTCTCCGATGAGGATGTCATGGGCTATTACATTCTGTTCCTGAAAACACTAAGCCTCAAACTCAACGTTCATACCATTCATTTCTTTTATAATGAACACACCAACGATTTTCCACTCTACACCGAAGCGATCAAATTTTTTAACCATCCCGAATCGATGGTTCGCATCGCCGTCAGAACCATCTCACTCAATGTGTACAGAGTCGAAAATACCAACATGCTGCAATTTATACGTGATAAGTAAGTCGAATTTCTTGTGGGATTGTTGAGTAGCCGATTGCTTGCATTGTTATACGTTGATTACATGGCATTTTTTGTATGCTTTTTTATCTTTTGTGATAAAAACTTGTGTTTTTTTTTCACTCAAAATGCGGCAGGAAATCAAAGATATTTGAGTTGATTGCTACTTTGAGATAATGTGATATTTTTCAGCGGTTTTTGTTATATAAATCCGAATCCCAATTGATCTATCGATAAATACAGTGAATTGAAACAAAGAAGTATTGAAGAAACACTTTTTTGTTTATTTTTTCCATTGAACAATTTTAATGCATAGAAAAAACAAATCTAAGAAAATAGGAAAAAAATGATGAAAATGTAACAAAAAGTGCCGAAAATAGCTAAAGAAGGTTAATGGTAAATGAAAAACGAGAGATTTTTTTTGATTAAAAGTGAAGTTTTTTCTGACTCTTTTACCTCAATTTAGCTTAAAATCACGTAGTCTTTCAAAGTTCATTTAAAAAAAAAAACAACCTAGAAATTAACGTTCTTTTTTTCTCATTCATTCTTTCAAATCAGAATTGATTTTTTTTTTTACCGTAAATTGTGCTTCGCTAATGTTTATTGCGACTTAAAATTTTGCTTTTCAAGTGTTTTTATTACATTTTTTTTGCCTAATTTAAAACGAATATGCAAATTACAGTTCGAAAACAAGTGCCTACGTTTTTTCCCCTTCGGTACAATAATAAGTCAATAACCGTTCATTGAACGGCGTTCAAGCGAAGCGCGTGCCATGACACAATTTCAGAATCGCATGTAAACAAACAAGTTCATTGAAGTGACTAATGGCTGCTGGAATGACTTCTGTTCTTATCAGCAGTTGTATTCGTCATTAGAATGATTTCTATCAATATCGCTACCAATGCTTGTAAATTGAATTCTAATTCTGATCTCTTTATCCGTTACTGCATTTGTTTTCGTCGTGTTTCGATGTTATATTGTTTGTTTTGGAGTGCGAGTTATGTATATGTGCATGTCAACAAACAAAAAAATGTTCATTAATTTTTTTCAGAAGTTTTCTTATCTTTTCAATTTCAAATTGACAATTTGTTTGTCTCATTCCTTATCGTTTTTTTTTTTGCTCTTCTCATTTTTTTCATCTCCTTCGTTGGAGCAGGACAGCCGCCCCATATTTTAGCAATCTCGTTTGGTTTATTGGAAAGCATATTTTGGAGTTGGACTCGTGTGTTCGCAATGATATCGAGTAAGTAATGATTTTTTTGTACTTAGATCAATTGTTTTGGAACGAATGAGAAATTGGTTTTGCCAATTTTTAAATTTTCCAATCGAATTGAGTCAATTTTTTTTGCTTTATCTCGAAATTTTTAATTAAAATTAAAATGAAGAACATTTTCTCATGATATTTTAAAAAGAACAAATATTTTTCATTGTAGTCACCAATCCCAACACCGTCTGTCCAACCTAGTGGCCGAACATTTGGACCATTTGCACTACTTGAATGATATTTTATGCTTGAATATCCCAGACTTGAATGCTGTTTTAACGGAGCATTTGTTGCACAAGCTATTTGTTCCGCTGTATATATTTTCGTTGACACCGGCACCGCCGCCACTATCGATGGCTTTAATTGCACAAAATCTGGCGGCTGTTCTCAATAAAACTGTCGATATTGATATTCAGGAGATGAACAATCCGCGTGTATCATGTGTTGTGGCATTGTTTTTGCTGTCGTTAGTGTTTCTCGTGATAACTCATGGCCCATTGGTGCATGCACTGGCCTGGGTCATTTTGAACGCTGACCACAATGTGTTCAAAGAGGGTGCTGGTGAGGTGTTGAACTCATATATCGAGAAAAGAAGCGCCGTCACATTGGGATTTGCCCAACCGGTAGAGAGTTTGGAGCAAGCTCTCGATGGATCGTTAACACCATCACCAACTGATGAAGCGTTTGACAACGGAGCGATGAGTGAAGCGAGCACATCAGGTGCTGCCAGCCGTCAGGCACAGAAATTGTCTGTGGGTGAAGGTAAGTGTCAAGTATTCAAGTTGCTTCAGTGTTGAAGACACTTCACTTGAATAACGATGCGCATTTATTTGAAGCAAAATACATTCCTAACTTTGACTTGGTTTTTATTCCTTAATCTTTACTCATTTTCCTGCCGTTGAAGAGCCACACTCGTCAAATCGAAGCCAATCGTCCTCCATTGCAATCGAATCGGCGAATATCACCGATGAAGAAAAGGAAAAATTGAAAATCAGTTATGGCGAGAGTTCCACTAGCACGCAACCAGAAGTCTCGAACCGTCCCTTTTTAGACACAGTATTATCAGCGCTAGACTGCAGCGAAAACGATTATCTCGCATTGTTGGGCCTTTGCTTAATTTACGCACTGGCCAACAACGAAGGTAAATCATCTAAAATTCTTGGTGCCAATTTCGTTTGTGACTGACCACTGATCTTGACTAAACCTTATTTCAATTTGACATCTTTAACCAAATCTATTATTTAACCACAAATGACTAATTCTCATTTTGCTCAATTTTTTTTTATTCTTCTTTTCTCATTTTTGTTTCACATTAATCGCTTTATTTAATCAAAATTGATGCTTCTTATTTTGGTATGCCGCTTTAATCAAACGCCTATTCTTTTCCATACACACACACACACACAAAACAATCACTTTATCGCAAAATTATTTAGTCGGTAAGAATCAGTTTCAGTATTTGTTTTGTGTTGTCGCTTCTCGGCTTTGCATGAACCGAATTGAAATTGTGATGAAATTCACGCAAATGCACATTATTTTCATAATTTTTTCGTTTGACATTCATCAATCACGTTTTAGGAGTCAACTCAAAGTGGCTGGATCAAGTGCTTGGAACACAATCTAATTCGAATGGCAAATATAAAACCATTCTCATCGATCGATTACTCCAAATCGTTCACATCTCCGGCCAATTGTGTAAGTTTTTGCGATTTTTTTGATAATTTTTCTAGAATCATTACAATTTTTATTAATTCTAGACTCAATTTAATTTCTGAGTTCATTAATTCCCCTTTTTATTTCATATTTCTTCAATCTTCTCTAAACAGCGAGTCGAATCCGTTTAATAACGATGGAATTGACCTTGAAGCTGTTTGGTCACTTTGTGAAGGATGAAAATGAGATTTACACCCTTAGCGAGTCACAACACAACTCTATTCAGTCGGCTCGACACTCAAGCATGATTGTACTGCAGAATTTTTATAAATCTGAAGATATTTTCCTCGATTTATTTGAGGATGAATACAATGAGATGACCAAGTCCAATTTGAATGTGGAATTTTTATGCATGGACTCGACCATTTTGTTACCGCCAACCGGAACACCACTCACTGGCATCGGTTTTACGAGGCGTCTTCCATGTGGAGAAGTAGAGAAGGCAAGACGAGCCATTCGAGTGTATTTCCTACTTCGACGGCTATGCCAAGAAATGAACTACGAAGAAGAAACAGTGTTGCCGCTCACTAACTTCAGCGCATGCATCAATGTGGATAATATTCTGGATTTGAGTGAGTGTTTTATTCTCAATCTTATTTAGTGTTTTAGGTATAGTGGATTTAATTCATCAGTTGGGTCAGAAACAGTGATCTTGTGCTGTGAAAACAGTGAATTTTGCTGAATAACCTTAAACCAAATGAGTTTGACTCACCAAAAAAATCCAATCGACTATTGAACACTTTTTATATGAGAGACTGAATTTGATCGATTTTTTTTTTACCCTTTTTCCAATTCACAGATAACAGCGATTTGATCGCATGCACTGTTCTACTGAAGGACGGCACAAAATATCGTCGATTTTTAGTGATCGAAGCATTGCAATTGGTTCTCGTGGAACCAGACTCAAAACGATTGGGATGGGGAAGTAAGTTGAGGGCAGAGATGATTGTGTTTTGACTTTTCTGCTTTATTTTGATTAAATTTAATCATTGTCTACTTCAAATGTTCACAATTCCAGTTGCCAAATTGGTTGGTTTCCTACAAGACGTCGAAGTGACTGGTGACAAAGACGACTCACGCTGTTTACACATCACCATCCATCGTGGAGGTGCGACAACAAATCGAACACCGATCCTTTCGGCCAAATTCATATTCGACGATCATATTCGATGTATGGCTGCCAAGCAGCGATTAACCAAAGGTCGAACAAAAGCACGACAAAAGAAAATGAATCAAATCGCACAGCTGTTGGAAATAAGTGATCAACAGCTAAAAAGTACCATTGCACCAACTTCACCAGCTTCGGTGCTACCCAGTTTACGTCCTGGTTCTGCATCGAAAACGACACGTGAGCATCGGCCGTTGTTTTCAACAGCAAATCGAGTACCTGGCGTTGCGGCAGCGCTACGAAGGGAGAGTATACCGTCAGGTAGTGTGAGCCGAGTTCAAATCACTCACAATCGGCAAATCGATCGGTAATTTCGCATAACAATTAATTAAATTATAAATATGACTCATTTTTTGCCACGTTTTTAAACCAACATCAAACTTGAAATGTATTTCCAGGGAGCGTTCGCCAAACAGTGCAGCTGGTGGAGCTAAATCGAGGGACGCATCACGGAATCGTGTGAATGGCAACAATGGCAAAGTTAGATCGCGTGAGTCTAGCCCGAGAACGCCTCGTCCAAGGTATTTGACAATAGTTGCATGCTTAATTAGCTCAAAATTTAATCCAAAATCTAAATGTTCTCTTTGTGCAGATCTGAAGAGATTCCAATGGAAGATTTCCGTCAGTCTCGTAACTCGAGTCCATCATCGCGATGTTCATCGCGAGCAACCTCACGATCACATACTCCATCGCGATTGGGTGTCAATGAAAATACATTGTCGGTACCACCACAAGAGCACCAATCGCTTGCAAATAGCCCGAATTTGCTAGCTGTCGCCAGTGCTAGTTTGGCCGAAGAAACCGAAACCAATGTCAATTCCATCGAAACATCATTCATTGCACCAAAGAAAAAAGGTGCTATTGAAACGGTATGAAAGTAAAACAAATACTTTTCCATACACACACTGTGTGCGGAAGAGTATGCTTCGATCCTTGCTTTGGATCCATGTTAGTTAAAATATTTTTTGTAGAAAAATTTCTCATTAACTTATTGATACGACTAAATTGATATCACCGAAGACTCTTTGCTTCAAGTAGAAAATCAATTTCTGGTGCAAGAAATGTATGAAAATTGAAAGAAAAAACGAGTCATTTGTTTGTTTGATACATATTCACAGAGTGTCTAGCATATAGAACATTTTTTAAGCATTAAGACGAAAACAGGAACTTTTATGACTATAAATTGGTAAATAAAGTGAATTAAAAATTGAGATTTGGTGTATTTTTATTCGGAAAAATTGGGGCAGGAACAAAATCCGTTGAAACAACGATATTCTTCCTATTTTCTTTCTATATTATGGCTTTTCCATCCATTCGACATTCCTTCATATCAACAAATAAGTTTAAAAATTTTATTTAAATGAAATAAAATGGAGAATAAATCCAAAGAAACACTGAAAATCAAAAAGAAGAAGAAAATACGCTGAGCATTAAAAAGAGAAGAAAAAACAAAATAAAAATTTAAAAATAAAAAAGGAGAAAAATCGGATTGAAATACACAAAAAATTTAAACTAAAACCTAAGACGATACAGCACCAAAATCACAGCCAATAAATTATTTTCTGACTTGTTGTTTCCATTGGTCATACAAGCAGAGCCGTGACTACGCTGTGTCGTGCGTTGAAACTACGAGTTCAGCTGCTGTGACATAAGTGATATAACATTTGACGTTTCACACTGACGGCAGCACAATTGTCACTACAGTCCAACATTTTCGTTCCAGATAATCAAACATGAACCGCAACAGATTTTGTAAAATTCAATTTTGTGAAAATGAATTCGGCACAAAAGACCAAACGGTCAAATTCTTTCGGTAAGTAGTTGTTTTATTCGTGTATATTTGGCCAACATCTATTTTGTTGCTAAACAATGTTCAGTTAATATGTTTAATAAACCAGGTGGAATGAGCTCGTACGAGTCGATTTGTGTTGAAAGATTTGTCATTCACAAAGTGAAATGCTTTGCTTATGCTCATCAGACTTGTATTTTATTCGAATGGCATTCATTTTTCATCGATTAAGCAACAATTTTTTTTATACAATTTCCATTTTTGCTATTTTTGCCCATTTTTCTCTTTAAAAAGTCAAGTGGGTACATAAATGTGAATCATAGTTTGAAAATAATAATCGTTGAGAAAATTTTCATTATTTCGATTTTTTTTCTTCTTCCGTGAAATTGTCACAGGGCTCCGATGGACGGTGAGCTCTCAAATCAGTGGATCGACCGAATTTCAAAACACAATTCAGTTGTTCCAGATCGAGCAAATCTGAACATTTGTCAACAACATTTCAGTTGGAAGACTTTATAGCAAAACACTGCGAATGGGTACTAAAAAAATATGCGGTCCCGTCAGTTTTTGGTGAAGAAGCAAAGTCAGCGAAGGAATTGCCTAACCTGACTCCTTCCACAGAAACTAGTACAGCTTATAAATCATCTCTGCAAGGCAGACGGTATTGCAAAATAAAATACTGTGAACATGAAGTGGGCACCAACAGCAAGGAAATCTCGTTCTTTCGGTAAGCATACGGTTGCTCGGCTAAGAATAAATTTTTTAAAAAAAATTTTGTTGTTGTTCTCGTTGTTGTTGTGACTGAATGTGAAGTATATTGTGATTAAAACTTGCATTCAACAAAAAATTGTGTCAAGCGTCGAGTTCCTAAGAATGAAAAGGATCGATTCTGTCTCAATCTTATTTAGCTTCTGAACTGGAGATACATTTCTTTATGCATTTTTTTCTCTCTAAATTCGTCCAGCCAATGCAATTCTATCTATTTCAATATTTTTCAGTGTTCCGATGAACGGTCAAAAACGATTGGAATGGATTCAGGCCATTTCAAGGTATCAAGAGTTTGACTTTTTCAGTCCACGTTCGTCAATCTGCAGACAGCACTTCAAAGTCGATGATATTATAATCAAAAATGAGAAATACATTCTTAAAAAGCAAGGATTGCCGAGCATTTTTCCCGGAACGTCACACTTGGATGATGATTCGATGCAACCGCAACTAATTGATACAAATTCAATTCACCACGAGCTATTGACCGATGGCAAACGATTCTGTAGAATAAAATATTGCCCGAATGAAAAGAGGACTAACAAAGATGTTTCGTTCTTCAGGTAAACTTCTTCTGGGGAACATTCTTTGATGGTGATTCAAAAGCAATGCATTTTTAATCTGTTTCTTTGAATTTTTTTTCTTCAATTTTTCACCTTTATTCGTCATGTTTCTTTTTCCTATTTATTCAGAGCACCAATGGTTGGTGACCTCAGAGTCCAATGGATTGATATGATTTCGGGACATCAACAGAATGACACTTTCAGCACTGGTTTCATGGTTTGCGAGTTACATTTTCTCGCTGAACACTTTATTGTGGAAAACGGGCGAAAAATACTGAAGAGAGATACAATCCCATCGATTTTTGACATTAAGCCAAATACATCATCCGGTAATCGAAATCACTCCGTCGTTGTTCTTGATGTATCGTCAACAATGAATACTGACAGTGAATTATCTCATGATTTCACAGACTGTGATACACCTGTAGGTGCAAACGATAACAATAAACTTCATGATTTTGAATTTGTTAGCTTAAATGGAAGCTATCCCATTATAAAAAATGAACCACTGGACGAAAGCACGAATTCTGACAAAAAAAGGATATTTGTACCAGAAACAGTTGAAGAACACTCTTGTGCTACTCATAAGTAAGTGATGAATGCTACATTTTTGTATTTTTCTAGTCATTTCTCTTTCTCTATTCGATTTTTTTACACAACTGTTTATGGTTGGCTATAAATGTTAGTTATAGCTTACATCAATTTCATTCCATTTCCCTTCATTTCATTTTTAGTGTAGCAAAACGAGCCAAAACTTCTGTCTTAGCGTGTGACAGTTGTGATGATCTTAACACGGAATTACAGAAAGCAAGAGAGAAGATTGTTTTACTGGAAAAATTTATACAAACACAAAATAAGACGATAAGAAGACAGCGCAATACAATCCTTCAATTGCGGAAATGAGTGAAATATAATAATGGTTAGAGCTACGCAGAATTTGACCACAAGTCGACATGAATAATTACGAATAAAACAAATATTTTTGTGGTCAATAGATTGTTCTTTATTTAAATTAAAAAAAAGAATTTTATATGACGTACTGCACAAATACTTGAATAAAAATGGTGTTAAGTATGAAAATTAAAATTGGCAATCGTACTGTTGGAGTTATCATATGCGCATGTTGAAATCAAATTCAGCAAGAATGTTTGTTAAAGTTATACTGATGCAGGAAAGAAGCAGCTTTTTAATCGATTTCACTTAAGTTTCACAGGAGTATAAGTAGAATTTATATCGGAACCTTTGTCGATGAGAAGTTGAACGATATCCATATCACCTGAAAAAAATAGATCAACTAGATCAAGTAGATTGAAACATCTTCTTTCTAAAAGTAAATATCACGGAGGACGGTAGTCCGACAAGTGACGCTCCAACAACTGTGCATTTCAAGCCAAATGTCAAAAATGCCAGTTTTTGCGTCACAACTATATAAATATATAGAAAACTGCTATTTTTTCGTAAAAATAATGGGAGTCTACCAACACCTAAATACCCTTTTCGTTGTCATTTTGATCATAAATCGGCATTTTTACATCTGAATGTATGAAATTGAACTTTTGTTTGGGGGATACATAAAAAATGCACTTTCCAGAGTTTTGGTGGTTGGGAACGAATATTTTTTAATGAAATAATAAGGATCCACAATTACTCCAACACTCCTATTATGTTTATGTATTTTTCCTGAAAATAATTGCCTTACAAAAGTAGTGATATCAGATGAAAAATCTCCAGATGAGGTTAAAATGGAGTGACGCTCCTGTCTGTTTTGGACGACAAAACGCTTTAAATCTTGACTTGGAGACTAAATTCAAAAGTCGTGACGCGATATTTTTCCTTATTGTGAATAAATTTTCACAATAATGAATGCGGAAAAACACTTTTGTACTTCGTACCCAGTTATAATACAGCGTCCTAGCGTCACTCAAAATGATATCAGTCATTTTGAGTGCTAAATCCACGGACAGGAGCGTCACTCCATTTTAACCTCGTCTAGAGATTTTTCATCTGATTTTATTTACCGTAGTCAGCAGCATAATGCAGAGGTATCTTTCCATCGTTGTCTTTTTTATTAACATCGGCACCTTTTTTGATGAGCATTTCAACGATCTCTTTGTAACCTGGAAAATGGTGTGTCAATGAAATGGATTGAATCAATCTTCTCTCCAGTCATAAAATATTTTAAAATACCTTTCGCAGCAGCCAGGTGAAGTAGTGTTTTTCCATGACTCATTTCAAAATTCCAGTCGGCTCCTTTCTCGATTAGTACCCGGGCAACATTCCTAGAGACATATTCAGCAGCGTAATTGAGCGGTGTGTCTCCAAAATCGTTCTTAATATTCCAATCGGCACCTGCCGCGATGAGAACTTCAGCGATGTCATCGTTATCTGGAAAATGGAGTAACAATGAAGTAAATTGAATCATCGAAACGTAAAAATTTAATCCATTCACCATATTTAGCAGCATAATGAAGCGGTCTGTATCCACAATCGTTTCTAAGATTAACATCAACACCTCTCTTGGTGAGAGCCCGGACAACACCCGTATGAGCTGGAAAATAATAGATCAATGAAATAGATTGAATCAACTTCTCTCTTGCGGATCACTTGTATTCAAAATTACAACGACGGGTAGCCCATTGAACCATTGTCTCTCCATGAATTGTAAAATCAATGTCGGCACCTTTCTCAATGAGAGCTCGGGCAACATCCATGTGTTCTGAAAAATAGTACATCAATGAAATGGAATCTTCCCTCTAAAGACGAAAATCCAAAATTACCACAGCGAATAGCCCGGTCAAGAAGTGTCTCTTGATCAATTTTAAAATTAATGTTTGCGCCTTTGTCGATGAGAAGTTCAGAGACCTCCGTGCAGTCTGAGACATAGTATACCAATGAAGTAGATTCTTTCTAAAGGTAAATATTTTGAAATACCTTTCGAATAAGCCTCATAAAGAGGTGTGTTTCCATTGTTGTCTTTTGCATCAACATCGGCACCTTTCTCGATGAGAAGTTGAGCGGCTCCCTTCTGACCTGGAAAATGACACATCAGTGGGAAATTGAATCATTTTCTTTCTCTTTGGATTCTTATCGTAAATATTTAAAATTACCCTTCGCAGCAGCTTCATAAAGAGGTGTGTTTCCATTGTTGTCTTTTGCATCAACATCGGCACCTTTCTCGATGAGAAGTTGAGCAGTCTCGTTCTGACCTGGAAAATGTCACATTAATGAAATAAATTTAATCATTTTATTTCTAAACGTAAATGTTCAAAAATTACCATTTGCAGCAGCAGAATATCGGCACCTTTCTCGATGAGAAATTGGGCAACATCCTTCTTACCTGGAACATAAAAGACCAATGAAGTGGATTGAAGAAAAGGAGAGATTAAGCAACAAATTGTTCATTCATTCGTATGAATATCAATGAACCATTGAAAGCAAAGAGATGCTATCGGTGCAAATCATAATAATAATAAACCATCGCACATATAACCGTCAGTAGAGTTGTATAGTAGACTATGCCACTATATGAATACACGATATGCTTGCCTTTTAGTCAAAGCATATTTGATACAAAGTGCTGGGGCCAGCAAATGTGGCACTCTGTCTTCATCTTTATTTAATATTTCTTCGCTTTTACCTAGAAATGTCAACTTACCAGCCGCAATCGCAGTGCTCAATAGAGTTTTAACAAAATAAACTTCTATGTTGATGTCGATGTTCACACCGCATTCAATTAAGGCATCAACCGCGTTATCATAAAATAAACCAGAAAAATAATTACATTTTATTTTAAATTTGCATTTCATTGTGTCTGAATTATTGTCTCCAAAAATAGTTGATGTCTCACTAGCAAAGTATTTAATTGGGTATTACCTGCCAATAATCCATTGAAATCTGTAACAAGAAGTGAAATCACCAGTAATAAGCCGCACTTCATTTTGATCCGTCTAAATTCAAATGGCTTGGCAATTCTGTATTAAAATTCAAAACAAATGAGTTGACTATCAATTTCTATCCCGTGATAATCAAGTGAATGCACATGCGCTGCTGCTGTTAAAGTCTAGTTTACGGTCCATCGAATAAACAGAGTATTTTCTATTTCCAACAAAGTACTGTTATATAGAAAATACCTTGAAGATGCAATAAATGTGATGTGTACAAATTACCCTTTGCGACTTCACTTAATTGAACTAAGCCCTTGGTCGCATCAATACCATTTTATCACTTTTTAATTATCAGAGAGTACATTTTTGCTGTTAAGTATGCTGCATGTCTGAGCTAAACTGAATTTACTGACTTGGACACTGGAAGCGTTGTTTTAACGCATTCATCGTACATGATTGTCATTGCACGCAAATTATCCACGTTGTTAATGAATCATACTAAGGTGGATCTAAATTCATACTTCAAATACTTTGAAGTAACAGTGGACCAATGCCCATAGTCTCGTTTTACTCAGAACATTTCAAAAGCCATTCAATGAAATTGAGACGTCTTGCGATCAAGAAATCAAAGCACCCTACCTTTGAAAACCCTTTTTGCCACTTCAATTTTAATATCGGTCAGTGATACAATCGTTTCACTTTTGATAGACACAATCTATCATCTTCAGTCGCAATTTCAACTTATAGATAGCTGTTGTCTACCGGAACAATTGTATCACTGACCGGTATAAAAATTTAAGTGAGAATAAAACGAATTACATACGTAATCCAAACTTTTCCGCTCCGAAGCAATTTAGTTTATTTCCCGCTTAATGTTTAACCAAAATTTCAATGCACCCTTTTTTCATAGCATTTTTGACCTTAACTATTTCGACCATTTTCCATACAAAAGTGTCATTTTCGAACGAAATTTTAAAAAAATGTCGATTTCGGACCAAATTTATGGGCAATTAAGTGCTTGATTGTTGGACAAATCCCAATATTTTTGCAAAAAAATGGCAGTTTGCCTTGATCAAAACCCTAAAAAATGGCTTTCTGTGTGATTTTTCATACAAAAGTCTATTTTTCGGAGAAAATTTCAAGAAATGTCGATTTTGGACCAAATTTATGGGAAAGTGGGTGTTCGGTTGTTCACAGACTCCCATTATTTTTGCAAAAAAATGGCAGTTTGCCTTGATCGAAACCCTGAAAAATGGCTTTTTGGGCGAGTTTTCATACAAAAGTGTCATTTTTCAAGGTTTTTCAGGTCCTCAGTCGGAGGCTTATGGTACGAAATTGGTAAATCAGAATGGGCTCAAAATCAATCCGAAGCTTTGTCTCGACATGCCAAAACTTTTGGTTTTTACAGATCTCAATTATCTTGTCGACTTTTTGAGATAATCGGCGAACAAAAAACGCGAACGCGGACGACGCCATACGAACATCGCAATTTTGCAAATTTTTCATGGTAAACAACATGTTTTTGGGGGTAGATAGGTCTTGATCGATAGGATTTCATCCCATCTACATTGCCTAGTGTAAAGATATGTGCTTTTTGAAGTTTGGCGTGACGTTATAGTGGTCCGAAAGAGGAGATGCCATGAAATTTTTGCTAGTAAAACCAATACTTTTCCATACAAACAAAGTTTGCGGAAAAGTAAAAGAGTACTGTAAACAAAGTTATTATGATTTCTTGATATTTGTATCAATGTGTGCTCAAAAATCAATTGTATCACTTTATGTATCAAATAATAATAACATCTTACGATGTTTTTCCTTCATTACATTGATTAATCACGGTCGCAGCAAACACATAATAAAGATTCGCTTAAAAATGTCCGTTCTCAATATTTTTTCAGGATGAAATTATTTTTCCATTCATTTTTAGCATTTATGTTCATTCAAAAAAAAAAACACCAAATCAATTGCGATCGACACATAGGGCGTTATTTACGTGTTTTATTTTATTTATGACGATATACATAATTTTTAATCATTCCACGCACATAAACTTTTGAATATAAATAAAAATACTAACGATCCGTCCGTTGGAATTACTTTTCGAGTGTTTCGATTTATAGACCGAATATATTTTACCAATACAAATAACGCAGAAAAAGAAAAATTGAAAACAAAGCACAAATAATTGTAATTATTTGGTACAAAGGCACTACTTCGAGAAGCAAAAATTGTCCACTAACTGCAATCAACTCTGATTTCATATTGAGCCAGTTTGGAGTATCTATCATTTATTTATTTCAATAAATTACAATTTGCGAGTATGTTGTATTGTAATTTTAGTCTTATCACCTAGGGGGATTTCTCACAAAAAGTTTGAGCAAATGTGCAAAAATTTCTATTATTTCTTCTTTTTCATTGAAATTGTATGAAAATGTACTGAAATGACGATTTCGCTTGAATAAGAGTGTTCTGGAAGTGGGTTTTGGTGGATCCACAGGATGGACCAGATCCGGTTTGACATTGCCCTGGCCCATCCTGAAGATCCACTTCCAGAACCGGGAGCAGTTCTGAACGATCCTTGAAATCCACCAAAACCCACTTCCAGAACAATTTCATTGAAGCATAATTCAAAAGTTCAGTGTAAATGTACATTTATTTACACGAATTGACAAAAATTGATCGAATCAGACCGAATTTATAAGAATTCATTCATTTTTTTCGTGAGAAATCCCCCTAGCTTATCACTTCTCACATTCATTTTCTCCACAATCAACATTTCTTATCACGTAATTGATTTAATGAAATTCCGTAAATCAACACTTCGGACAGTGGATAAATTGCACCACAGAATAATAATATGAATATTTCAGAGCCACACTAGGGCAAACGAATAAGGTTAAAGCAGATAGTAGACAATACAAAGAGCGATATTTATGCCTAAATAAGACGAATTTCAATGTTCGTTTTGTGCGAGCCTACATGCGAAAAAAATGCCGTTCTTCTAGTATCGAAAGTAAAATGCAGGAATATACATATATGCTACCCAGTACTTATGTCGAAAGCATAATTTAAACGATTAGTTTGTAATTGATTATGCAGCCATTTCACATCCGTCCACCTTTCTCCATGAGAAATTGAGACAGCTCCTTGTGACCTGAAAAAGAACAGATTAATGAATGTAGATTGAATCTTTTTTTAACATAAAGATTCGAAATTACCATAAAAAGCAGCTCTATGAAGAGGTGTTTGTCCATTATTTTCTTTTGCATTGATATCGGCACCTTCCTCGATGAGAAATTGAGACAGCTCCTTGTGACCTGAAAAAGAACAGA